TGCCCTTCTCAGTATGGGTGGTGCGGGTATGCCCTCGAATACCACATTTTGGACGGATTTGAGATTACGTTGAACACGGTGTCAATTCTTGCAATTTACAGTGAATGATGTTCATATTTGCTCGCAATCGGCACCCATACTGCTGACCTCTCCTCGTCTCGCCTCTCTGGGCGTCTGCCACAATTGATGAGCTGATGGGTCGGCATTCAACTTTTGGGTCAAATGCCGCCTTCATCTTAGTACTGACAAATGGATGTTTTTTTCTGGGACCCCCCCCCACAATGGTGGATTTAGGTTTCCCTTTAAACCACAAACATGGGGGTACCCTCCAAAAAGACAGCCAACTATGTTTTTAGCCAGTGAACTCAGACTTCGTTGTGTTGCCATTCTTTCTTGGTCCATTTTTCGGATTCATACTGATCCCTAATTCATCCTTTTGTGTTTCCAGATTTGCAGCCTTGGTCAGAGCTTCGGTATGTATGCTAGCTTGAGGGCATCACAGTGTTACAGATTCGCAATAGCATTCCACATGGGCAACGGTTTGGGTTCCTTCTCAGGAAGTGCTGATGCTGTCAGTGGCCTCCTCGTCGATTGTGTTCTGCTTGAGTGCTCAGGCGGGGTGAGGGATCTTGGCGCAGTGGGCGCTCCCTAAACTACAGCTCAGACATGACAACACCGAAGCGTTTTAATGCAGCAAGCCTTTGTTTAAAGGGGCCATTGGACTAGAGACACTGGCGCGAGTGCAAACATCTTGCCACATGCCCCCGGCCAGTCCGTCTCATGTTGGACGGAGACATGAGTCTCGCATCTTGGAAACCCGTTTGGATGATGGGAAACCAAACGGAAACCAAACTATCAGGCATCGACTCACAGCACTCACACTTCGCACCTTCATTGAACATATTATGAAGTATGACATTCGCCTCTGAACGTGTGGTTGGTCTCTGCGTAACAGTGAGCAACCTGCTCCTTTTGCAATCATTGGCCTGAGCTTGGTTTTCTAGTTCTTTTCCATTCTTGGCAACCAAAAAGGAATCCTGGCAGTCTCCAATTCCCATACCCAATGAGGGAAGCAGCGCCTGAAAATACTCACAGTTGCCTTTCTTCCAGTATTTCTCTTCTATATTCCTTCTATCATCCGGGCATCCACCGAAGCGTGCAGCTCTTTCCGATTTGACGCCCCTTGGTGTCACCGCAAGTTCCCTGGGAAACGCGCGGGCCGGTGTTTCAGGTGACTTGGAGCGGACTGGCGATTTGAAGCCCTGGTGTTCGGCACCAATCCAAACTGCCAATCCAAACCTAGGCAACCACTCCAAGCCACCAATCCAAGAAACCAATCCAAACCACCTAATCCAAACCACCTAATCCAAGTCAACTCAAACCATTACTTCAAACCACCTATCCAGGCAACCAATCCAAGGCTCCAACCCCAACCACCCAATCCAAGCCTCCAAACAAATGGAAGTCAAATCCAAATTCCAACCTCCAATTTGCCAGGCGTCCACAGCGGAGCAGGCGTACGCTTTGGCGCCCATCGCGCAGATCCCCCAGTTTGCCTTCGCAGGCGGGATTGCTCGGCATTTGGCTGAGCCTATGGAGGTTCAACATGGGTTTGGTTTGCCTGTTGGCTGCCTCTTGGTTTCTCTTGAAAAAGGTTAGTCCTTCTCAACAAATTACACCAGCATAGACCCCAGATAGCGAAAATCAGGCGGATGATTGCACACCAGCACCTGAGCAGCAGCCCCAGAAGAGCGCCGCAAACAGCACCCCCCCAGAGCACACGGCCGTCAGCACCCCAAACTGCATGCCCCCAGCAATTGGCCGTCAATTTCGCAAAAATGCGCCCGCGCCGTCAGCCCGAACACCCTGTGCAACCCCCCCCCCCCCTGCACCGCACCCTGCTGTCAATCTGGTGAAAGTGCGCACGCACCGTCACCAGCACCTACAGCCCCCAAAAGAGTCTCAAAACAGCATCTGCACCAGCTGCATTCCCTATAGCACTGTCAATGTTGCAAAACTGCGTCTGCACCGTCACCTGCATGCCCCCTAGCACCCGGCCGTCAATCTCGCAAAAATGCGGCCGTACCACCAGCACCTCAAACTGTACCCAACCAGCACCCCAAACAGTGCCCCAAGACAGCACCAACACCAGCACCCAAACTGCATGCGCCGTCAATCTTGCAAGAATGTGCCGGCACCGTCACCAGCACTACAGACAGCTCCCCAAACCGCACACCCTAACAGCATCAGAACCCCAACTGCACCCAGCCGTCAATCTCGCAAATCACTTTCCCCTCGTTATTAGAGGTTAGAACCCCTCTGGGTTTCAGCTATCTTGGGAGAAACATCTGTACGGGGGTGTGTTTGTGTGAGGATACCCTTGTTGAACTTGTTACCCTGCTTTTATGTTTCAAGCGAAACCAAAAGGACATATGTTTTTCAAAAAGCAAGGGTTCAACTTTCGTTGAGCGTGTCATCTGGGAATACATCAGTCTCATTGATATGAACAGGGGTGAGAGCGTGCCTCTCTACTTATACGTGTTTGTGTTTTTTGAGACGACCTTTTCACCTTGGTTTGAAGGGAAAGCAAAGAGAAACCCACCGCCAGTTTTGGCGCAGACCCCCCGACCACCCGATGTTCCCAATGCAGGCATTCTGCTGCCAAACGAGATGGTGCAGCTTGGAATGCAAGCAATTGACTGAAAAGCACCCCCGAAAGGAAAACCATCATCTTTGTAGTCCCCTCGCAGGAGGCATGGATGAAACCTTACTGGGCCAAACCTTTTTGTCCATCTGTGGACTGGAGTCACAGTTCGAATCTCCTTCAGGCCACTGTCCTTGCGGTGGCTGAAATGGCTTTGCCCATTGTACTACGGCATGACTATGATGGCCCTCTCAGCAGCTTTGCAACACAAGTGAGCGGGCTGGGCGTGGCAAGATTTGAGCTGCTTTTACAGGTGTGTGCGTGTTTGAGCTTCTTGCATTTGAGCCACCATCAAGACCCAAATAATTGGAGGGTAAGGGACAATTTGCTTGCCATAAATGAGTGCGGATATCCCGCATTCCTTCCATGGTTCCGGGTTCTCCATGTGGGTGTGGGTCAAAATTAAGCCACCAGGGGACCGCAGGTTTTAGTAAGGGGTTCCATTTACCAGGGGAAGCCATTTTGGGTACCTATTTTTGACCCACAGCCATGTTTGTATCGCCCGCTTTCGGCAGATCTCGGCAGATTTCGGCTCAGGAGTTCGACGAGCCGATCGAGCAATTTCAGGAATGCCAGGCGCAGTTGAACGCAAGCGCATCGGATAATCTGGATGCTGCTCAGCCGAGACTAAGGAGGGAACCCTACGTGTACACGTAGTCAAAGCATCACCCCACAAGCTGCTCACTTGAAAATGGCCAAACAAAGGTGATGTTTGAGGCCACCAAGGAAGGACATGTTGAGAGCCTGGTAGTGGCATTGCAGTTTCTGTCTGGATTGTTTGTGGCACTTCAGTCGGGCTATGCAAACCACCTGGAGTTCGAGGCAGGCGCCCATTTCCTGCCTGCTGAGGCGCTGTATGCAAAGTGCCCTGGGGCTACTGTGCAGGTCATGGCGCTGAGATCACAAGGCGTGTCACTGGGCTGCAGGTGCGAGAAACCTCCGATAAACCTCCGAAAGCCCGAGTTGCTGGGAGTTGATGTGGCAGTGGTGGTCAAAAATAGGGTAACCCCAAAATGGGTTGCACTGGTAAATGGAAACATGGACTAATACCTGTGCGCGGATCGTTTGATTCTTACCCCTGTCCATGTCTGAGGTTTGAGGGCTACTTTTGGTGGCCGGTACAGGCCTCGGTTGTGACGGCATACGGGCTTCAGTCGCCATCAGAATCTGGGGCATACGATTTCAGTTTTTCCCGGAGTGAACACCTTTCCAGAGAAACTAAAGGGCCCCCTTTAACAAAAGGACACACACTCTGCGTGTTTTCGCTCACTGAAGGCGCTAAAGTGCAAGCGATTGACTCAGATTGCCCCAAGGCCGCCACCATGTGCTGCGTCTTCTTCGTGGCTTTCCGGCTTCTTGGAGTGCTGATCTTGTGGCGAAAGAGCCGCTTCGTGCACTAGACCTGACGGCACCGCCGTTGAACGAGCCGAGCGCCGTCCAGACCGCGGGCGGTGATTTCTCCCACGGCCAGAGCCCGAGCCCAGCGCTCGAAGAGGCCATGCGAATGGCAACTTCGGGCGCCGCCCACAATCTATTTTGCAGACCCCTTTGGGGTCTCAGTGCGTCCTGTCACTGCCAAGTTCAATCTTGGGTTCCATTGGGTTCCCGGGTTTGTTGACACCGATAGTTCTTTGTTGACACCGATAGCTTCGGCGATGGCTGATTTGCATGCAATTAGTGACAGGGACCAAATCGCACAAACGATTTCGCTCGCATTGTCGGGTTGATACGGGCACATGACCAGCAGGGTCCATTGGGTACAGATGCCTCGAGTGATCCTGCTCAATTCATTTGCAAGGAGACATGCCATTCAAGCGCCGCGCCTCCTAAAAGGAGCGTTTCCATATGGATCACGACCACTGCATTGCAAGGTGATTGATATACTGTTCTGCGTACTTGAGCCCAGTCACGCGTATTGTGTTCCCTTGAAAAGGCAGGGTGTCGGCCCCATTGGGCAAGGCCGGTTTGTTGTTTATCGAAGCCCTTGCTTTTGGCGACAAAACAAAGGCAAAACAGGTTCAAACAAACCGGTTGGGGACAAGCTATGTTTGGATGGTTGTTTGCCAGAACAAAGCTTGCAAGCCACTCAGACACTCTGGAGGTAAACCCCCCAACCGTCATGTTGGCTTGATTTTGAACGCTAAATGCCGAAAGGGGGGGGATTTCCAAATTGCGACATCCGCTTGTGTACATGAGTGTGTGTTTTTATTGATGGGTACCCCCTTTTAAGGTTCGAAGGGACACCCAGAGGACACCCTTGCACCCACATGCCCACGTTTTGTGGAGTGACGGGAAGGTGATTGCAGCGCCAGTGGAGATGGAGATGGCGAGCCGACAGTGTTCAAGGCCCGAACTGCCAAAGGGCTCCAGCCCATTTCCGGCCATGTTTCATAAAAGTTGGATCCACTATCAATATATGTGTCTGAACTAGGGAAGCCCAAAGTGGTGGGTTTTCCTTGTGTTTCCTGTTAAAACCCAGAAACAACTGGGTGCCGCAAAGAAATACGCACCCCCGTATTAGAGTAACCCTATTCCAGCCCCCACACCCCTGTGCTACCTCTGGGAGTTCGTTCTTTTGTACGTTTGTGTTTAGCTGTTGAATAAAGCGTTGTTTGGACAACGCTCGAAAGGTACGCTTGCACGCCTGTGAGTACCCTCTCGCACCCAAAAAGACTCGACTCTGCTTGAGTCGCCACTGCCATTGGCCAGGGATGTCCTGCAGACTGTACGCCCCTGGACAGACCAGACACCTACCTGCCACCTGGCCGCCAGAGTGTGGTTTCGGCTCAGGAATGGCTTGCCGCTAGCAGTTGGGCCAAGTCAAATTTATCTTCCAGCACTTTACATGCTATGAATGCTATGATAGATGATACACCTTCTTTGCGTTTGGTCCTCTTTCACCCTCTCTCATCTTAGGCTCTGCCAGCTCTTTCTTTTGCCGGAATCGGTCGGTCACTCTGAGGTATGGTGGCGGCGACCCCAAAACCGGAGAGCGGCAGAGTGGGGGTTTTCCGATGGACAAAGCTTCTCCCATGGGCAGCTGAGGTGGCTTCGGCAAGGATGACATCGACCTGCGCATAGCGACTTGGCTTTCTGGCGACGGCTGAACTTGAGAGACCGGAAAACCTTCAAGGCAAGAGAGGGGCATGCCCTTTTTTTAATAGGGGACCCAGCAAAATGGTGGTCCTTTTGATTTCCCCTTAAAGCCGCAAAGAAAAGGGTAGCCTCAAGAAAAGACACACCCAGAGAGCTTGGGCCAAGTGCGGCTGACCGATCCTCAGGACAGCTCGGATGGCCATAGTTGCAACGAGCAGAATGAAGGGTGCGGCACATCAAAGGCGCGTGCCGTGTTTACTTCACGGATTAGCTAGGCTTCTCTCGGATTCCTGCTTCGCCTTCAAATCTTTGGTTTATCATTATGGCATCAGGATTTGTGTAGACCCTTTGGCTCAGGCAGGGTTTGTTTTGGTACTGTCTTCTGGGGTCTAGCTGGCTCTGGTTATGTCTCTCAGCACCACCATCTCGGTGGCCAGCGGCTCCGGATCTTGCACCATCCGCCTGGGTGCCAGAGATCTGCAGATGCAGGGCGAGCTCCTCCAGCGGCTGGCGGAGCTAATGGGCGATACCGCGCAGATGCTTCCGCCCGAGGAGGCCCAGCAAGTCTTTCGAGGCGTGGAGTTCCTCAGGGAGCAGCGAGACGCGGAGGCGAACGCCGAGGCAGCCGGAGAAAACATCAAGGGCGAGAACCGAGGCCCGGAAAAAAAGGCGAATGCGAGGAGATCGAGGAATGCGCCGAAGTCGGGAACCAAACCTCTGCCCGCATGGACTGCGCTGGAGGGATCCAAGCCAAAGGCTTGGAGCCTTCTTGGGCAGAAAGCGACATGAGTCGGTTGCTCGCTCCGGAAGCGCCAAATCTGGCAACCTGACTCCTAGCATCTCCTAGCAAAGTTTAAACATTTTGGCCGAATCAACGATGCATCCTTGCGCTGCGCAATAATTGTGAATGTGTTTACATTGGACATTTCCTTAATCCAGGCGGATGGTCGGATGATGTGCCTGGTTCGGGAAATTGCAATGGCTCGCTCTGTGCACCGCAGAGCAAAGGCATTTGTTTAAAGCAGGGTAGTGCTTCTACGCTGCCTGAAAAGCTGTCTTTCAGCATCAAACAGATGTTGGAAGATAGCCATTGTCCGATCTTTCAACCGACCATCGGTCTGGATTGTCAGTCGTGGCTCACTGAAAAAACCTGGCTCCAGTATTTGCCGAGATGTTGCAGGCAGCTTGAAGCTTGACGACCTTGTCGATTCTGCCTGGATTTGGATTGCGAATTGTGGTTTGCGTATTTTGCGAGATCTTGCATAGAAAAGCCCAGAGAGAGAGAGAGACAGAGAGAAGCTTGTGGTCAACAAGAGAGAGAGAGAGAGGACGCAAGAGAGGGAGACGTCCCAGGTCATCGAGATCCTCACGTCGCCCGACTACGTGGTGGGCCCCATGCGCTTGCCATTGCACAGTTGTGTTTTTCCCCCTATGGCTTTCAAGCATCGCCTTGGCCCAAGTTGAGTTTTGCTTGGTAGTGATTTTTGAAGGGAACACATAGGGAGCTGACATTTTTTGGGTAATGACCATGATTGATTTCGTGATTCTGATGCCCTCTCCTGCATGGTGCGGGCCTCTCAACAAGACGGTTCCGGCTGTCACTCTGCCAGGACTTGCGATTTGATTCAGATCCTGGGCTGCAGACAGGCGACGGTGCTCCGAGCATTTCTGACTGGGGTGGGTCAACACGCTGAGCATGTGAAAGACACAGACTGTCAAGATGATGGCCCGTGATGGCCCCCTTTCGAGTGAAGGACAGCAGAACATGAGAGAGTTGCAGATGTGTCACCAGGCGACTTTGTCGTCTTGGACGCTGTCTCTGGAGGCACTGAGGAGGCTTGCGCCGTTTCCAAGGCAAACGGAGCATGGGTGTTCATTTGAGTTTGCGCCTTTACACCCATTGGTTTCCTTTAAGACAGCCCCATTTGATTGTTTCTTCGCGCCTCTCGTCAGGAGAATGACCTGGTGTCTGGCCAGCTGGGGCTGGATCATGTTGGCCACCAAGCCGTGCAGCCAGTGGGGAGGTGGACACTGGGTTTCCCTTTGCTTCCCTTCTCCATTTCCAGGTCGAAGCACCCGGGGTTTCCCTTCAGCGTGTGAGCTGATACTGTTTTGTAGTACCCAAAAGTCGACCCACTGATATGGACATGTCTGGAATTCCCTCACAAAGTTTGGGTGAATATTTTTTCAGCCGGTGACCAATCGATGTGGAAAAATTGGTGCTTTGGATTGGTTTGGCTGGTTCCGAGAATTGGGGGGGTTGTCACCCTCGTTACACCTCTAAAGCACCAATCCAAGCCACTCATGAATTGTGTGTGTGGTGTGTGTGTGTGTGTGGTGTGTGTGTGTGTGGTGTGTGTGTGTGTGGGGTGCGTTTTTGAGGGTACCCTTTTTACTTTGGCTAACGGGAAGTCATCAACATCGACAGCCGCTTTTTAGGCGTCCAAAGCCTCAGGTGAATCAACTTCTCCTTACACATTTGTGTTTCCTGCAAGGTTACGCTGAGTTGTCCTAAACAAGAGGGCCATCCATGGCAACCTGGAAAAAGGATTTGGCCAGTTGTTGGGAAGCATTTTACAGTGTTGCTTATTGTGGTTTAGTGGGAAATTCCCACTTCACTGCTAGAATTTCAGCTTTTGCTCCCCTTCCAACGTCTACCAAGAAAAGGATACACCCTCAACATCAACCTGGCGGCTGGTTTGCCTCCGATTCCCGTAAGGTCACCAGGCTCACAGAGGCCGCCGCCGGCGCGGCAGGCGCCGCCGGTGCCCCCAGAGGGGCAATGTAGATGGCTGCGGCTCAAACCGGAATCCCCAAAATGCGTTGCCCGGGAACATGGACCAAAACCTGCGGTTTGCCCCTCCTGTTTAATTTTGAGCCACTCCCAGATCTGGATTCAACACGGGAATGAAGGGCAAGACACCCATGGATGGATGGGGATGGATGGTGATGAGATTTGAGATTTGATCTGAAGGGGTGAGCAAAGCAAAATATCTGGAGGGCCCCTCAGATGGAGAGACACCCTTTTTAAGGACCAGAAACACCCGTAAAAGGACCCACACATGCCAAGGGTTTTCTTCGCGGGTCCCTTGAAACAGGATGCCCAATAGGACACCCCCAAGTGACTTGTCGTGTCAAAACTAGGAATACCAGTCTTGAGAGCACAAGGCCTGCGGTCAGAGACCCCGCCAAGAAGTGCCGAGGCAGGGCTTCTCTATCGGATCTTCGTGGCGTTGCCTGGGCAGCGCCCGACTTTCTCCCCAGGACAGGGATGAGCACATTGCGGTGCAACTTGGTTGAAACGGATTCCCTTCCATTGGCGCAAGAAGCCGAACTTCGAGTGCAAACTGCTCTAAGTTGTCGGAGCTCCCCCGCTTGGGAGGCGCTGGCGGCTGGAGGCGCCACAACATGGCGCGCACCAAGCAGGAGCTGAAGGCGACAGAGGCGGCCGGGGCTGTCGAACATGGCTCTGAAGCTTCGGAAAAGGGACACCAAATCTCAGAAGTGGTCAGATAGACAGGGTAAATGATGAAAACTCATGACCTGGCCCTCCAAAAGAATTAGTTTCTCTTCGGTTTTGAGCCGAAGACACTTTGGGATTCGACGCATGGGATCCACCATCTGGAGTCTCCAGTGTACACCGGTGTTTGCGAACACAGCAAATGCCGCCAGGCTGTCCAAGGTCTCCCCCTTAAGCCAGACGAAATAGGGGTAGGTTTAATTGTCGTTGATTTGGGATTGCTGGTTGGTTGTTTGGGTGTGGCTTGGTTTGGTGTGGTTTGTTTGTTAGTTTAATCGCCTCGTCTTGTACTTTGCCAGGCGAAATTCGAGCTCCAAGTGTGCTGGGGCTCTGGCCCGGACACGTACCACGTACGAGCGCCTTGGCCAGCCAAGGGCAAGGACTTAGGCCCTCGAGGATACTGGGATGTAAATACTAGAATGGGTTGTGTTTTTCAACGGCACATCAACTGATGCTTGTGGGCGAAGAACTCATGTGTAGTCAATTAATAATTAGCTCTCCTCATTATGGGTATGCCAAAATAGCACCCCCCCCCCCAATAAAATCTGGTTATCCCGCTTTTTCGTTTAAGAAACCAAGCTGGTGAAGGGGGCCAGGCCCTACGAACAAGCTGGGCCAGGCCGGGCGCGTGAGCTTCCTGCAGCCGGGGACCATGGAGGCAAACCTTTACCTCACCTCCCTCGAAGGAGACGTGTTTTTTTCTTCTTTTCTTTTCGGTTGCTCGAAATTCAAGGTGTGCCAAATGGAACTCTTGTTCATCCCAGATGCGTTTCGCCCCCCACAAGGCGAACCCTGTGCGCCAAATCCGAGCGTTGCGCCCGTTAGAAAGCCCGCTGTCGGGATGGTATGGTTTTCTTGGCTTTGAGTCAGTCCATTTCCTTCGCAACGCGCATGGGAAGGGAACTGCTCATTCGACAAGAATCTCATTTGCCTTTGTCTTTTGTTCAGTTTCCCCACCTTGTGCTTTGGTCCCGAACTTGCCAACATGCATCCCCTCTGTCTTTTATGGATACTTGTTCATTTTCGGGGACGTGATCCAAAGTTCGTGGGGGCATGGGGTTCTCCGACTTAACTGACCCTTCCATCGTGGAACCTCCGGTTGCGGGCCAGGAGCTCGGCCGGCGCCGCTGGTGCTGAGCTTCCGAACCGCGCTGGAGGGGGTGGCCAGCCGCTACCGCCAGGCCCAGCAGTCCATGCGACTCAGGACGGGAAGGGAAATGTCCAGGTTGATCAGGGCTCCTTAGATACCATTTTGCCCAGCCAAAGTAAAGGACCATTGACAAGGCAATGTTCAGGTGTATAATATAAGGATCCCTGTTGATTCTGGTAATGCAGCTGATTTCAGGGTGATGGGTTGATGGGGGTAATTGACACCTGCCCAGAATTTGAAACGAGGTTTTCTCTGAGACAAATGCCGCCTGGATGAAATGGCTGATGGCAAAATTTGGGGTTGCATTTTTTCGATCCAAATGGTTGATGGCGAGTTTCAGGGTACAAGGAATTGATGGGGGCAACCTAATTTTCGAACCAAATGGTTGATGGCTAATTTCAGGGTGGTTACAATGCGTTGACGGAATTAACTAATCTTGGAACCAACTGTTTGATGACTAATGTCAGGGTTACAGTGGGTTGACAAGGACAACTAATTTTCGAATCATCTGGTTGATGGCTAAATTCAGGGTTACAATGGGTTGATGGGGGTAAACTGATTTTCGATCCAATTGGTTGATGGCCATTTTCAGTGTTGCAGTGGGTTGATACGGGTAAACTAACCCTCGAACCAGGTTGTTGATTGCCAATTTCAGGTTACAGTGGGTTGCTGGGGGTAAACTTCTTTTTGAACCGAATGGTTCATGACTAGTTTCAGCGTGACGCGGGTAAACCAAGTTCGATCCAAATGGCTGGTGGCCAATTTCAGGGTTACTATGGGTTCCGGGGTAAACTAGTTTTCGATCCGAATGCTTCTTGGCAAATTTCGGGGTTACGATGGGTTAATAATGGGGCAAACTAATTTTCCAGCCAAATGGTTGACGGGTTGAGGGGGTACATAACTCCAGATGGTTGATGGCCAATTTCAGGGTTACAATGGGTCGAATATCTTTTGGGGGGCCTCTAGCTGGCTACGCCTCTTTGAAGGCACTGTGATCTGCGATGCAAAATTAGCTTATACCATGGCAAGACATTTTATTGTGTGAAATTATACCAAATCAAGTCATTTTATTGTGTGAAACGTATCCTATGCCATGATATGTCTGGTTAGATTATGCATTTTGCCCACTCCAGCCATCAACATATCCCAGATGATGCTGGGATGCCAGCTTTCTGAGCCTCAGCAGGGCCCCAACCGAGTCAAATCACATGGGGTCGCGCGCCCGCGCGCCAAAAGGCCCCAGAACGCCCATCCGAAAAAGAACAGCTCGCAAGCCAGCCCGGAAACGCAGACGTAACAAACCACTGTAAGCCAAAAAACCAAGTGGAAAAAAAAACAAGGACCGCTAGTATTACAATCTTGACTGCGTTTGGTGGTAGTGTGTTGTTGTCGTGTTGGAGAGTTGGAATTCCCATGTTGCGAAGCGCTCTTCGAACTTCTGTTCATCCAATTGGTTTTAGCAACCGTGTAAGGTACCCAATGCTTCTTGTACCAAGAGGTATGGAGTACCTGGCATGTATCAAGCACCATGTCTCGAAACCGTTGCCTTGCATGTTTCGTCTGCAAACTGTAGACGCTGGTCCATCGCATGTGGTCACTAAGAAGTAGTGTAGATTGTTGCTCAGTTGTATCCATTGTGCTGCCACTTGTTGTGAAGGTGCTGCATTCTCAAGTTAACCATGTCGCACAAAAGTAAGTTTACCCGTATCGGCCCATCGCAACCCTGAAAATGGCCATCAACCATTTGGACCGAAACTCACGCTTACCCTCATCAACCCATTGCAACCCTGAAATTAGCCATCAACCATTTAGATGAGCTTAGTGGGTCGGTGGGGTAAATTTCAAGGTTCAGCGGGTTGACTGGGTAAACTTGTGTTAAGGCATGGTTTGACAAGTTTTCGTTGGGGTTGGTGAAGTGAGCTCCCAAGAAGCCTACTCCAGTCGTGTTCCGGGTCGTTGCTGGCTTTTGCAAAGCACGGTCTTGCCCCCGCTGTTCACTGGAAACTCAACAACAATGATGTGTTTTAACACGTCCTGATGCGATGCTTCTCAAAGTCGCTGCGCTCTCTCCTCTTGGACAGCCACTCAAACACCTGCCACATTCTTTACTCAAACCCAAACAACTTGACCGCGTAAACCAGCAAACAGCAAAGCTCCTCTGGTAAAGCGAGCAAGGCGCAGGCAAACAGGCGAACGCCGCCGGCGCTGCCGCGCGCCCGTGTTGCTTCAACAGCGCGCAGTCTCGTTTCGAGCAAGGCTCCTGAAGCAGCTGCAAATCAGTCCGCGCTCGCGCTTGCCTTTACGCGCGTGATGCGTACCCTTGAAAGGTGGCGCGGGCGCGCGCCGCGGGCGAGCAGGCAATTGGGCCCAACCCCGTCGCTCCCACCTCGGTTGTGCTGCCATAATTCCCACCGACAAACGCACAGCCGGTCGGGGGGGGGGGGATGCCTGAGTCCACAGGAAATTTCAGACAGTCTCGGGGGGTGTCATTTCGTGCTGTGGAACCACAGGTATTTGTGGGCTATTTGAAAAGGCGTGCCAAAGCGAAGCCCAAAGATGTGGAGGCGAAGATCGCAGATACTGTCAAAACACTTTGCGTCCCTTGGACCTGAAGGTTTGATCCCTGCAAAGTGCTTCGTTTATCTTGAGCTCTTGGAAATTTTGAGTGAAGAGGAAGCTCTTGGTTCACACATGCGCACACACAAAACAAAACAAATGAAAAGATCTGCGCACGTTCATAAGCGCACCACACCCACACCCAGAGAAAACGCGCGAACGCAACGCGCCCAACCTGTACACACAATACCAGTAGAGGCGGCGAAGCTGGCTGGCGGAAGTTTCAAACACAAAAGAACTACATCTCTCTGTCCCTTTCTCATTGTTCATTTGTTCTTATGTGTTTCCATTTGCTTTCGGCGTGTTCTCTCTCTCTCTCTCCCTCTTTCTCTCTTTCTCTTTCTCTCTCTCTCTCCCTCTTTCTCTCTTTCTCTTTCTCTTTCTCTTTGTCTCTTTCTCTTTCTCTCTTTCTCTTTTCTCTTTCTCTTCTCTTTCCTCTTCCCTTTCCCTGTCTCTTCTTTCTCTTTCTCTTTCTCAAGCTCTTCTCCGTCCTGTTCTTTTCCTCTTTCTTTGTCTCCTCCCTTTCAATCCTGAAAGCCTGTCTGTCGAGAAAATACTTCACACACACAACAGAGACACGCACACACACACACACCCACCCACACACACACCCACACACACCCACACACACCCACACACACCCACACACACCCACACGCACCCACACGCACCCACACGCACCCGCACACGCACCCGCACACGCACCCGCACACGCACACGCACACGCACACGCACACGCACACGCACACGCACACGCGCACGCACACGCACACGCACACGCACACGCACACGCCCACGCCCACGCCCACGCCCACGCGCACGCGCACGCGCACGCACACGCACACGCAGTGCGCGGGCGTGTGCGTGTGCGTGCACGTGCGCGTGCGCGTGCGCGTACGCGCACGCACACGCGCACGCACGCGCACGCGCACGCACGCGCGCGCACACGCGCACGAGCACGCGCACTCACACGCACACGCACGCACACGCACACGCGCACACACACACACACAACAGACACACACACACACACACGCACGCGCACAGGCAGCACACGCAGCACACATACGCACAAAGAAAGGAGACCGCAACGCAAAACACACAGCGCACAGCACACAGCACACAGCACACACAGACACGGGACACAGACACAGACACAGACACACACAGACACACGCAGACACACACACACACGCAGACACACACACACAGACACACACACACAGATAGACACACACACAACAGGGACAGTCACACTTACACACAGACACAGACGCAGACGCAGACGCATATGCAGACGTAGACGCAGACCAGACACAGACACACAGAGACTCAGAGATACAGAGGCACAGAGGCGCAGAGACACAGAGACACAGAGACACAGACACACACACAGACACAGACAGACACACACAGCCACACACAGACACACACACAGACACACACACACACAGCCACACACACAGACACACACACACACAGACACGCGCAGACACACACACAGACACGCACACAGACACGCACAGACACACACACACAGACGCACACACAGACACGCACAGACACACACACACAGACACACACAGCCATACACAGACACACAGGCACACAGACACACACACAGACACACACACAACACAGGCGCCACACAGACAGTTGCACACCCACACAAACTCAGACACAGGCGCAGACGCAGAAGCAGACGCAGACACAGACACAGACGCAGACGCAGAGCCACGCACACAGACACACACAGACACACACAGACAGACACAGACAGACACACAGACACGCGCAGACACGCACAGACATGCACAGACACACACGCACAGACACACACGCACAGACACTTGCACACAGACACAGACACAGACACAGACGCAGACGCACACACAGACAGACGCAGAGCGAGATACGCAGGCAGACACACAGACAGACACACAGACACACAGACACACACAGAGACACACAGACAGACACGCAGACACACAAAGAGCCGCACGCACAAGCACGCACCGACACACACGCAGAGACACACACACAACAGACACACACACACACGCACGCGCACATGCTGCGCAGCACACATACGCACAAACAAGGAGACCGCAACGAGAACAAACAGCACAAAGCACACAGCGCGTAGGAGACAGCGCGCAGCACACAGCGCACAGCGCACAGCGCACAGTACACAGCACGCATCGCGCAGCAGACAGCACACAGCGTGCAGCACACAGCACACAGCGCACACAGACACGGGACACAGACACCGACACAAACACAGACACAGAGACACACAGAGACACACACACAGACACACAAAGACACACGCACACACACACACACGCAGACACACACACAGACACACACACACACAGACACACACACACAGACAGACACACGCACACAGGGACAGACACACCTACACACAGACACAGACCCAGACGCAGACGCGTACGCAGACACAGACGCAGACGCACATGCGGACGCAGATACAGGCGCAGACGCAGACACACGGAGACTAGGAGATACAGAGGCACAGACGCGCAGAGACACACAGAGACAGAGACACAGACACACACACAGACACAGACAGACACACAGACACACACACAGACACACACACACAGACACACAGACACAGACACAGACGCAGACACGCAGAGACGCACACACACACGCACAGCCACACACAGCCACACACAGCCACACACAGACACACACACACACACACAGACGCACACACACACAAACACACAGCCACACACACACACCCAGACACGCACACAGACACAGACACACACAGACACACACAAACACACAGACACACGCACACAGACACAGACAGACACACACAGACACACGCAGCCACACACAGACACACAGACACACAGACACACAGACACACACACAACACAGGCGCCGCACAGACAGTTGCACACAACGCAGACGCAGACGCAGAAGCAGACGCGCAGACGCAGACGCGGACGCAGACAGCCGCACACAGACACAGACACAGACACACACAGACAGACAGACTGAGACGCAGACGCAGACGCAGAAGCAGACGCAGACGCAGATGCAGACGCAGTTGCAGGTGCACAACACAGACGCAGACGCAGACACAGACACAGCCCAGAGATACAGAGACACAGAGACACAGCGACACAGACAGACACACGGCCACACACAGACACACACAGACACACACACGGACACACACACGGACACACACACACACACACAGAAACACACGCACGGACGCAGGCACAGACACAGACAGACACAGACAGACAGAGACAGAGACAGATAGAGACAGACAGAGACAGAGACAGACAGAGACAGACAGAACAGACAGAGACAGGCAGAGGCGACAGACAGACAGAGACAGACAGAGAGGCAGACAGAGACAGACAGAGACAGCCAGAGACGGACAGACAAACACACAGACACAGCGACACACAGACTCACACAGACAGACATGCAGACACACATGCACACACAC